TGCCCAGGGCCCGAGCGGATACCTGCTGCGTGCTGAAGTCCCAGCCCAGGCAGCAGCGGCGAGCGGCGGGCTCGGCCATGGCCCCTGAGGCTCCAGCAGCCCCTCTATCCGTCAGTCCTTCCCGCGGCCAGACCGTGGCGGAGCTTCAACCGGCCCGCCCCTTGCCCCTTGCCCCGCCCCGCCGGACTCCCGGACCCGGGTTTTCCAGATTCTTTGCGCTCTGGCGCCGCCTGGCGGAAGGGGCGGGGACTCCGCCTGCGCAGCGGGCTCCCTCCAACCCCGTACCACCCGACCTCCCATGCAAATACGCTCCCTGCCCAGACCCGGCCCTAAAGCGGCCAACCTTCCCTCGGAGGACTTCCTGGCCAGAGGGTTCAACTTTAAGCCGGCTTGTTTCTGCCCATCTGGTGGCCCTGGGCCTGAGGACCTCCATGGCCGTCTCTCAGGTACTGGAGCAGCTGTCCACTTATGGTGGTTACAGGGAAATGTGCCCTGGGATTGGAGGCACTGGGCTCCAGCAGGCCCTGTCCTGACCCAGCGGATTTGAGTAACTCCCAGCTGCGCCATGTGCCACATCCCACCAATGTATTTGAAGTCAGAGCTCTTGAGCCGCCTCTTCCCCTACACTCCCCTCCAACCGGGCTCATTCATTCCTGCTGCCATCTAGTACTGATGGGCCAATGGTGAAGGGGGATGAGAATCAAAATCAGACCCACTCCCTTTCTTCCTAGAGCTGAAGACCCCTTCCCCTACCCTCATTCCACCTAATGGGTCCTTGTCCCAGAAGCCCTCCCAACCCCAGCCAGGTGAGATGTTCCTCCCAGGAGCTCCCAGCCCAGCAGAGCCCTTCATGCACTGGTCTGATTACTTATCTCCCTTTTGCTGAACTTGTTGCTTGGAGCCTGTGGGAGGGAATTTGGCGGTGGGGGTGGGGGGTGGGTGGGTTAGGGGGTTATATCCAAGAGTACAGTTTATTCTGTGTGCCTAACTAGTTTGATGGCGGGCTCGGATTACGCCTGAGGACGGCGGTGCTGGTCCTCACTCCCACCTGGAACGCACAAGAGTACCTCTCTCCCCACGTAGTACCTACATATACTACCTGGCCTTTCCATCCTTTTCGTTTTTGCCAGTGTAATAGGTGAGGAGTGGCTTCTCGTTATTAATGTGCATTTCTCTCATTACTGATGAATAGGAGCATCTCTTCGTATACACTCACTCCCATTCAGTGAATTCCTTGCTTATATCGTCTGCCAATTTTTCAGTTGGAAATTTTTATGGATTTGCAGGAGTTTCTTATACTTCAAGATATAAGTTCCCTCCCCGTTTTAGATGTTGCAAATATCTTCTCCCAGTAGTATCACTTACCTGCTAACTCTGTCCATCTTGCCCTTTATGGACAGGAAATCTTTAATTTGAATATAATAAAATCCACCCATTTTCCTCCTTATTGGCTAGGCTATTTGATCTTGTTTAAGAAGTGTTTCCTGGGGGAGAGGGTATAGCTCAGTGGTAGAGCGCATGCTTAGCATGCATGAGGTCCTGGGTTCAGTCCCCAGTACCTCCATTAAAATAAATAAGTAAATAAACAAACCTAATTTCTTCCCCTCCATAAAAAAAAAAGAGTTTAAAGAAGTGTTTACAAACAGCCTCACAGAGAAAACAAACTTATGGTTACCAAAGGGGAAAAGGGGGACAGAATAAATTGGGAATTTGGGATTAACAGATACATACTACATGTAAAATACATATAAAATAGGTAAACAAGGACCTACTGTAGAGCACAGGGAACTGTATTCAATATCTTGTAATAATCTGTAAAGGAAAAGAATCTGAAAAATATATATATATATATAAGAATATATGTGTGTGTAACTGAATCACTTTGCTGTATACCAGAAACTAAACACAACGTTGTAAATCAACTAAACTTTCAATTAAAAAAAAATTGGTGCAGCCATTAATGGAAAACAGTATGGAGATTCCTCAAAAAGCTAAAAATAAACTTACCATATCATCCAGCAATCCCACTTCTGGATATATATCCAGAGGGAACTCTAATCCGAAAAGATACATGCACCCCAATGTTCATAGCAGCACTATTTACAATAGCCAAGACTGGAAACAACCTAAATGTCCATTGACAGATGACTGGATAAAGAAGTTGTGATATATTTAAACAATGGAATACTACTCAGCCATAAAAAGAATAAAATAATGCCATTTGCAGCAACATGGATGGACCTGGAGAATGTCATTCTAAGTGAAGTAAGCCAGAAAGAGGAAGAAAAATACCATAGGTATCACTCATATGTTGAATCTAGAGAAAAAGAAAGGACACTATGAACTCATCTACAAAACAGAAGCAGACTTGCAGACATAGCAAACAATCTTCTGGTTACCAGGGAAAGGGGGTGGAAAGGGATAAATTTGAGAGTTTGAGATTTACAAACGTTAGCCACTATATATAAAAATAGATTTTTTTTAAGTTTCTTCTTTATGCACACAGGGAACTATGTTCAATATTTTGTAATAACTTTTAATGAAAAAGAATATGAAAATAAAATGTATATATACACACATGACATTGTGGGACATTGTGCTGTACACCAGAAACTGACACATTGTAACTGACAGTACTTCAATAAAATAAAATAAATAAAAGAAGTGTTTCCCTGCTCCCAGGCCACAAAACTATTTTCTCCAAAGATACTAGCTTACATTTTCTTCTTTTGGCAAGGTATTTGAGTCATCGAGATTTATTTGAATCTAGGTGTTTGTCAGCTGAATATATTACATCCTAACACAGAAGTGAGTGAAAACTAAATCCATTCAAGGGTAAGCACTAGATGTAAGCTTTTCAGAGAAAGAACTTTTCATTTAGTAAGTACAATAATGAGAACTCATTATAAAATAGGAAAACAGAGACAAACATACATTCAGTCCCTATACTCTGGTCACCAATGAAACAACACTAGGATCTCTCTTGATTCTTTGAAGTTTGCAGCCACAGCATGGATTTTTCTCAAAGTGAGCCTTTTTCTTTGAGAAAAATCCTGAAGAAGTGCTTTCTTCATAAAGAGGAGTTCCTCTTTTTAAAATTTTAAAGTTAAAAGTTTTAAAATTCCAACATAGTTTATTCTGTTTGTGTGAAAGTAGCAGACTAGTTGTTTTATCCAAATCACTTAAAGCTGTGTTCATTAGTCCTGAAAACTACTAAAACCATTCAGGCTTGCATATATTTTTCTAAATGAGTAGTTTTAAGAGTGGAAAGTTAGCAGTATACTGGTAGCTTTAATTCCTAGCCCTTTCACTTCTAAGGCAAAGATAAAAATCACTGAATCAAAAATAATCAGAAATTGGGGAATGAAATAGACAAATCAATTATAATTCAGATTCACTAATTTATTATATGTCTGAAATTTTATAGATTTCTTCTTGAGATATGTTAGAAGTTAAATAATTCTCTCCACTCTATCTCAAAGGTAGTACAAATTTTTTGTGAGATCAGTTGGAAGCTGTTTTGAGTGAAAATCAATGTTTTGAACTATAGCCCCTGGCAGGGCCAACATCACACAAATCTGTTTGTCCAAGTTTGAGGGTGAGGTGTGGGTCCTGCCTCCAGTTAAATAAGTAACTCTTGCAGCTGAGATTCAGATTTTTTTTCAAGCTGATTTTACGTTTATGTCTGGAAAAAAGTTTCATGGACTTGGATGTTTAAGCAGATTCTAAAGACCTCTGAGGAGAAAAGC